AGATCTTTCTTATTTTCACCAACTGCGAAGCTCCCTTGGATGTGGCCAGGCTCTGCTATCCAGCCCTTGCCACTGCAGGGATGTGGAGGCAGCCATGGCCCTTGATCCTTTCTCCTTGCTCACCAAAAGATGCCAGCAAAGAGCTTTGGTTCCTCGGGCTCAGCTGCCAGCACTGTGTTAGGAGCCTCCACACTGCACACACAATAACTGATTTTTCTTGAAAAACCTGCTTTTGGCATATTCCCCAGTGGGACCTGGAGTACACAGTGAAGGCATATTCTGCTGATTTGGATAATGTCGTCAAACGGAGACAAATGATTTTTAAGCAGGCGTTTCCACTAATTTCAGTGGTGATTTTTTTCCAATTAAAAAAAAAAAAAAATCCCAAGTGTGCTTATGCAGAAGTGTGGTCTATAATATTTAAATTGACGTATCCCAAAGGCTGAGTACAGCAGAGAAATCAACAATTCAGGAAATAAGTTGTGTGGATTTGAGTTGGCCTTGAAGAAACATATCCTGTAAAATCTTTTAAGGCAAGTGAAACAGGCAATCTCCTACAGAGATTTCTGAGTCCTAAAACCTGTGCAATTAACTGAAGTTACAGTAGGAATGGAATGATCAGATGAAACGGAAGGAGATGGGAGTGCTCAGATGACAGTGACGGAATTTGGGCTGGGTGTTTGGGAGAGAAGTGAGGACACTGGTAAAGAACAACAACAAAATTTTAAGGTCATTGAGTCATTAAAGCTACAGGAAAATTTGCAGTCGAACAGTGGCCTTATAGATGTGCCTGTCCTGGTGAACAGCACACTGCCCAGCACGGTGCGTGTCTGCACACACATTTTCCTGCATGCACACACCGTAGGATTTAGTAACTCAGCATAAAATTAACAGGATTTTCATGTGATGAGCAGAAACCTGTGTGTGCAGCCATGCATGATGTGCACACACACACGTGTGTGAGCACTTGGCTCCAAAGTTGCAGGGTTTTGTGTTATTCACACCGCTACAGCCTAACAACTGCCCATAAAAAATCAGCCAAAGCCTGGAGAGAGACTGGTTCTTCCTTCCCACCGCGGGGAACCTTCCATTAGGATAGCAGCTGGGTATTTTTCTGATCACTAATTAATTCTTCAAAAGGATTTTAAAGCGAGCTCACTAGAGCCTGGGAATCATGTTTGTTCAATAGGCCTGGAGACAGAGTAAAATTACAGTGACATCTAGTGATCATAAATATTTCACAAAGTTGCTACCAGTGAAAAAATAAAACATTTATTGTTAGATAGCATTTTAAACACATAATACAAAAAATCTGATCATTAACTGGGGCCAGAGAATGAGGCAGGTTGCAAATGAGGGTAGATTATGTGAATTAAAGTGCTGCAGGGATGATACAGAGCAAAGTGTTGGCGCTGGCGAAGGGCTGTGGGTGAGTTTCCGCAGGGATCTTTGCTAGGTCTGTATTTCTCACTGTTTCAGCAGAGTTTGCTGATGGTACTAAATTGCACCACATTCATATGAAAGAAGCTCAATATTTGGAGGCTGGGAATAGAACTAATAAAATGATGTGCAGCTTTGAAAAGTGCGTGCTAGTTCCCAGAGAGAAAAAAGCAAAATGAACCCTATTCCATGGCAGGAATATGTGGTGCTGAGGCAGCTCTGACTGAGTGCCTGACCAACCAAGGTAAAACCAAATAAAGAGAGAATACCAATTGGACATCAAAGCTACAACTCAGGTTTACATCTTGAATCAAAGAAGGATTTGGGTTTGCATTCAGCAGCAGTAGAAACTCACTGTTTTTTTGATGTTTAGCTTGAGTGTTTTCTATTCCAGGTTACTGATTAACTGACGATGTAGGCTTTTTATTAAAAAAAAAAAAGGATTTTTGTTCTGGTTTTGAATGTCAGATGGGCAGTCAGACCATAGTCATGTCTGCTTGGTCAGGATGGGCTTAAATTCTGCTGTCTGGCTGAAGTACTTGAAGCCTTAAGCATGAACAAATGGTGCGTTATTCAGCAAATGATTAAGAAAAACTCGGACAAGGATGGGGCAGGGCATTGGCCTATTCATGTCTTCATTGTGCAAAGTGATGAAAACCGAATCTGCCAGATTAGCTGGAGTAACAACAATAGATAACTGATGCAGTTGGTGAACTGATTTTATGGTTTTAAATCAGGTATCTTTGTGGGCATATAAATATGCAGTCAAATTTTCTTATGATGAAACATTCAGGAATTGCTTTGAAAAAGTTGAGAAGGAAGCTCCCAGCTAATTTCCGAGCCCTTCCCTTGAGTCCCTAGCATCCAGGCAGGTTTAGTCTCTCAATTATTAGCTGAAAGCAGAATATACATGCCCACCATCTGATTTCTGCTGCCGCTGGAGAATATGCCTCAGATACATGAATAAGGGAGAGACAGATTCAGGCACATCAGATGCAATGGCTGCCTCTGACTGTTGTGAGAAGTAACAAGAGAATGGGAGTTTATTAAAAATGGTAGCTCAAATTAACTCCTGGGGTTCTGTGACTTGGGTAAGTGATTTTCTATAAGCAAGAAATGTGTAGTGGGACTTCAGGTGCTGCACTTCCATATAGCTTTTGCTACAACACTATTTGGAAAATTATTAGCTATGCTGGCATAGGCAGAAATTAGAATAATAATTGCAAAGTGGGTAAGGACCTGAAAAAGACAGCTGAGAGAGGACTGGTGATTACTTTTGGTGATGTTGCTTAGTGCTTTCAGAGGTGGTGAAGAGGACAGGGGGTTCGCTCATGTAGGGGTTTACAAACCTGCTCACCCCATCTTTCCTGCAGGGTTGGGGAGCCCCTAATATGTCTCAGAAAAGCTGGAAATTGAAGGAAAAAGGGCATTGCAGCCACTTTGCTCGCTCGGCTGGCAGCTGTGTCCTGCTCCATCGCAGAAATTTCCCAAAGGGTAAGCACAGCTCTGATATTTTAGCAGAAAGCTATCCTGAGTTGAAGGCACTTTCCTCCATCACCTGCCTGGGTTCAGGGTCCTGGTCTCCAGCCCCAGTGACAATACTATATTTTCCAAGATTCTATTTGTCTCCATTTGCTCTGGCCTAGAGGGATTGTGAGATGTGCTGGACAGAAGCTGCGCTGAAACATGAGGCACAGCACCCGGTGCTAGGTGGGCTCTGAGCACAACTGCTGAGAAAGCAATTAAAAATAACATTACTGTGAATCGACAAATTTAGTGTCAGGTTTGTCCTCAGTGGGACTTCACGGTGTGCAGCTGAACTGCAGGCTTTTCTCTGTGATATGTCTATTTATTTTAAATATGGAAGCAGCAGAGATGTGCCTCCAGCTGCTTAAAAAGCAGGTGGTTACTTTCAGGGACTATTTTACCAGATTTTCATACCACAGCTCCTATTAAATAAAGGTTCAGAAAGGCAGATGACAATCTTCCAGGATGAAGGCATCCCCAGCATCTGCCTGAGAGGAAACACTGACCTGGATGTAGCATCAATTTGCAACAGTAAAAAAGGGAAGAAAGTACCATTGCAATTGCATGGAAATTAGTTGCCTTTTACGTCGTGGGATGAAAATACACAGTGTCAGTGTCACTTTAATCAGGTTCATCATCCCACAGCAAAGGCCATTCACCAGTTCAGATGACCAAGGATCAAACTAGTTCTCAGTGGAAAAAAAATAATAATATTGTGGATATCAGCCCTGGGGCACCACAGCAGGTGTGAAGCTGTTTTTTGGGGGGAAAGGGCTGCCTCTTGGCATAGCTTGATTCCTGGAAGATGATTAGATTCAGTAACTTGAATTTTTTTTTTACAAGATTCACTCAGTTCCCAGCTGAGCAATGCAGAAGTGATGTGATTTTATATCCCACCAGCTATGCCAATTTACCTTCTCAATAGTGGATTTCTTTCCCCACTCTGCTCTCCAGAATGCAACTCCCTGCACTGACGGTATCTAAAACTGCTTCCCAGCTTTCAGACCCTCCCAAGCCATCGGCGTTCCTCTTTCTACCCCTCCTTGGGTACAGCAGCACGCAGGGTGCCAGTCGGCAAAACTGTGGGCAACTTCTTCCAGTTGCATTCGCTCCCTTCCTGCTCCAGGTGTGAATAATTTGTCTCTCTCCTTTTCAGTACACCTATATGTGGCGCACATCACTGAGTGCTGTATATACCAGATGTGGGTGCATGGGGAGGCAGGAAAAAGCATGTGAAAAGGGTCTTTACGTGCCCACAAGTCCCTGCAGTGCCGCTTAGAAATCACACCAGTGTCCCCCAACGAGTGTGTAGCAGGGAGAAAAGCCAGGAGCTCCGGAGTCTGGGTTGCCACAGTAACCCTTGCTCTACAGCCTTTGGCTTTTACACCAGGAAAAACCTTTCACTCACAACACCCAGCTCCATGGACATGCCTGACTGATACTATTTGTGGTGGGGCTGTTTATTGCCAAGAATCAATGAAGAGCCCCACGCAACCACCTTCTTGCTTCTGAATCTTTCCACAACTTCCAGACTCTCCTCGACACAGCCAAAAAAACCTCAATAAAGGTAAGTCTCAGGGAGCATTTTGAATCCAGGGCATCTCTCCTTTCTTTTCCCCATTTGCAGTCCTAATTCAGCAATGGAGTCAAGGGAATGCGTTGACATCGTAAACATGTATTATTTGTGTGATGCGTGTTAGTGCATTGTAATGAATATATGTTTTACAAAGGCGTGGTTGCTTTTTTTTCCATTGCTATTACTGTAACTCTGTTTCCTACTCTTCACTGAGATAAAAGGTTTCCCTCCCACCTACCTCAAAAAAAAAAAAAAAAAAAAAAAAATCTAAGTAATAGGAATGATAGAACTTGTGTAATTGTTCCCGGTTTGCATGTTTTCAGGTTGATTGCCTGAATTAGGGCTGCTCCAAAGTCCCACTGAAGCCCATGAGAGCCTTTTCACTGAAACAACGGTTTGGTTTTGAAGGAGCTTTTTGGAGGAGCAGGCTGAAAGCCAGGCGAGTGCAGGTACCGTTGCTCCGCAGCTTCGGAGTAAGGACAATTTAACCCTGCTGAGAATGGGGCTTGGTAGTTTCACTGCTCATAAATGGTGACTGCTACTTCATTTAGGCATATATACACAGATTTTTTTTTTTCAGAGCTAATATATATGTGTCTCTATATATGAGTCTATAAGTTATTCAGTAGTATAAATTAGATGACTATATGGAGAACATATCAATTATAAAGCCCAGATATTTTCCATTTAGGAAAATTAAGGAATATTTCCCTTTGAGGTGTTTTTTCTGTTGCTTCATATGCCAGTTGCAGAAATATTGCGAGAGTTTCATCAGTTCCTCTTTGTTATCCCAAACGTGAGCCCATCAAAGGAATTTCAGTGAACTCTCATTTCCCTTCCCCTGTGTTCATAGGCATACATAACTTTCCTTTGGTCAGTGCACCTGTTGATTAGCTGGGAATATTTTCCTCTTAAAATATCTTGCAGCAATATTTTCTTGCATATGGTACACAGGTTTGAATACCCAGCCATTTATGTGCCTGATAAAGATAGAGACCATTGACATGTGAATCCTCTTTGTGCAGGCAGGTCATACCTAAATGGGTGGAATTATGTGTGACCAGGTTACAGTCTAGTTTATGTATTTATTTAGAAACTGGACAGAATTTTTGCAGATGATCAGCTAATTGATTTTAACAGGTTGTCTTATGTTGACTTTTGGACTAGACCAACATAACATCTTTATTTGCAAATGAGGCTTTTCTGTCCCTGCACAGGAAAATGCATTGCCCTGCAATTACCAAGGAGCCACTGATAATGGTGAAAATGTGGTAAAATTAAAGAGAAGTAAAAACTGGTCTTTAGTAACTGAGTATTTCTCCATATACCATCTGCTTTGTTTGTGGGTTTTGCCATGGATGCCCACTCTGCCCAGCTACACTTCTGTAACAGCACTTCAGCCCCAAATTTTTACAAATTTCCAAATATTCCCATTTGGAAAATGTCCAAACTAGGCCTTTGGCAGCATGATGGACAGCTCTCATTAGAAAGCATGAAATGAAACAGTCTCAGGGTCCAGCCAGGAATGCCAATGTCCCATTACATATCGCTCTGTCATACTTCCCTTTGGCAATGAGAGTGTAACATGATGGCAATTATTAACTGGTTAATCGTGGGAGCATTTATGCGCACGCCAAGCCGGTAAAATGGAATATATGCAATTTCTAGATAGGACATTGAAATGAGGAGTGAAAGATTAATGTCTTGGATCTCCAAAGGTGCTCTGGGTGCATAGTGCATACTGATTTGGGAAGCACTGGAATATTTTTGAGACAGTGTGTGCAATGATCAGATGCAGGCAGGTGGGAGGTTGTACACTGCTCGCAAAGTTAAGCTGCAAAAGTAAAATCTCAGGCACAAGCAAATGCTGGGTGTCTGAGCTCCCTGAGAGGCTGCCACAACGCAATCCCTACCCCCCTGATGATTTTGGGAGGGGGCCAAAGCCCTGTGCTCCGTGGTGGGACAGACCTGCTCTGCCAAGCGTTGCAGGAAGCAGTAGTGCTGCATGCTAATGAGGTGGTTTGAACTTTCAGGAAGGGGAAGAAACACCCCACCACTTGCTGACATTCATGGTGGGGACGAATCACGCAGCCACCTCCTGCTCTCCTGGAGGGTGCCCTGCCTGGGGGCAGCCCCACAGCTGCTGGGGGGCGGCAGCAAACAGAGGTACCCCGGGCTGGGGAAGGAGCCGCTGGCTCTGCCACTGGGCCGTGGGGAGGAGAGTTTCTGATCCTGTTCCTGCTGAGCTGAATTTCTTATTTGAAACTACTTACGTGTGACCCTGGTGGTGCTGTCTTACCTCCAGTCTGGTAAGGAGCGTTTTGGGCAGCACTTGGGGGAGCTGAGGAGGGGGAAAATCAGACATGGAAGAAAGGAGTGCAACCTGCAGCTGTGGCTTGTGGGTGTGCATTGCTCCAAACACTCAGCATAGAAAGGGCTAGGGTCTGCTGACCCTTTGCATGAGCTCCCTTCCCTACCTGGGACGGAGCCCCCCTCTTTGCCCACCCATATAAGTTGACCTCTCGGTGTTGCCTTATTGGCACATCGGGGTGCTGCATAAGAAAAATGTGTCTGAGTGTGGCAGAGTGAGTTTTGGTTTATTTTGCTTCCAGGATCAGTACCTGCACACCACAGGCCCCAGAGAAGACCGCTGCTAACTGCTGATCAGCTTGTCTTGAACCGGACCCTTCAGAAGGGCAAAGCAGAGGAGTCTGTGCCCATGGGGATCGTGGACGTACCAGGTGGGCGACAGGAAAAGTATGTGAGCCCAGGTAGCGTGGCACTTCTCTCATGAAGGAGCTAGTGGGGACAGAGCAAAGCTGGCCAAAGAGCTGCTGTGAAAGCCTGGGTTACCCAAAATGTTTGGTAAAGAGTTCACTGGCAGCCCTGGGCAAGGCAGGCAGTTGGATACAGAAAGCTCCCAGGCTGTTAACTGGCCTGCTGGCTTCTCCTCCAGCCCCTTCTCCAACTACCAGGACAAGCAGCGTTCATATATAGAAACCATTTTGCTCTCCTTGTCTTCATCATCCTCCTCTTCAGCGTTCTACACCACTCCTTGTCTCCAGATGCCAGCACAGCCACTGCCACCATGGCTTGGAGCCTCCTCAACCATTCACCAGCCCTGATAGACCAAACTACCAGCATATTCAGAGAAATCTGCACAACTCTCCGCTGTTCAGCCTGCAGGACTTTCTCCTCAACATTTTTCATAGTTTGACAACACTGCTGGCATTTCCAGGAGCGGTGGCCCATGAGATGGACAGTAACAGCACGTTGAAGGTATGATTATTGCTTGTGAAATGGAAGTCAACTTCTCCTTCCAAATACACACCCTGGGGTGGCAGAAGCAGCTGTAGGGTGTTCCTATGGCACTGTGACCATGCTTCAACAGAGGTCCCACCCCAGCGTGTCCCATCGCAGCTGTCATGATTCATGGGAAAATAACAGCCAGATGTATGGGCATGTTTTTCATCAAAGCAGTTACTTAAAACGTTTTTTTTGCTTCAAAACCGCTATGAGATAAAGCCATTCATGTAGAAAAGCCGATTATTTCCCTTGTAATGGAATTTAACTGAATTACCACTTACATGTAAAAGATTTATGCTGAAACCATCAGGACTGGAAGGCCCTACAGACCAGCGTGGTCTCCTTGGTCTGCCTTAACACCTTGGAGTTGGCTTGTGTGAAAAAACCCGTATTTCCAGGGTAAGGATAAGCAGAGGAGATCATTTTTGACACTCATCAGCCCTCAGAAAGATGCCTCAGATAGTGGAAACACTAAAATTGAGATTTGGTTTCTTCCTTAACTAGAAAAAGCCAAGCAATGTCCAGCACAGCTACGTTCTTCTGTAGTTCCATGGGCAAAAGTTGCTGCTATAGTTTCAGGCTCATCCTTCAGCCAGTGGGGTGGACACCACCAAAACTGCATGCGATGGACGCTGTGGATACAAATCCAGAAAGATACGTAGCCACAGCTATTTGATACCTATAATTACCTAAGGAAGGCAATGAATATAAAGCATGAGGGAGTTCTGCCATTATGAGTGTGTTTATAGGCTGTGAATATTATTTACCACTTTTGTATTAGGACAGCCTGCAACTATTAATTCCCTTTGGAAATAAAAAGCTAGAGCCAGTTGCTTGGCTCAGGGTCCGCAGCGTTTCCTTTTCCAGTGACTCAGCTCAGGCAGGATGGGAGACTCTGACCTTGTATAAGAATTTACAGGTTTATACTAATTCAATGTAAAACATCTCAATTGTTTTATTACTTTAAAACTCTCTCTTCTCCCCATCAAAAACAGATAGCTAAGTAGAATGCCATATAGTTTGTACATTAAGCATCCATATAATATTAATATAATACAATACAATACAATATAATAACCTTGCTTTGTTATATAGCCCATCACAGAGGTCATTATAGAGGGGAGATGTTTAATAGTGAGCAGACGCTTGACTATTACCCCAAACAGGGCACCCTATCCTTTTATTTCCCCAGGCAAACATTGCAGCATATAATACACTTAAAGCAGGAAGGAAGGGATATTTCATGCAACCTCTCAGGAGAGTTAGGATGAGAGAAGGATTTCAGTAATAAATTAAATGCTGTTGGCAGTTTAAATTTATAAATAAATAAAAGCAAGTGCAATTACATTGAGGGTCTTCCGGGAAAATCTCAACCAGCTTGAGCGCCTGCCAAGGTTGGGAAACTGTGTTACAGTGTCCAGGTGGACAGCAATATCCTTTCCAAGGACATTCCCATTTGCACCTTTACCCCGAGGTCAGGCTCCCCACAACCCAGCTGGCCTGAGCTGGACTTTGCCCTTTGCTGCTTTTGGGGATGGGTGCAGGTTCATCATGGCAGCAATACCCAGCAGTCACGATCAGAATTTATTGCCCCACCAAGCCTGAAAATAGCCCCAATAATCTGGCATAGAGCTGAAGTGCAAACAGACTCCAGCAGGGCACCTGGGTCAAGATCAACCTTTTCTTAATTTTAGTGCTTATTGAGTGAGCTTTGCCCTCTGATGGCCTTGGCCGCACCTAGGGAGAATGAGAACTCATGGTTTTAATGGCTTGAGGACTAAAATGTGTAGGATGGGAAGAAAGAGGAGAGGGATGCAGGAATGACATCATAAGATAGTGAGTTGGGATGAGAATTTGAAAAACATAGGAAGAAAATTCTCAAGATCAGAGCTACATTGTAAGGAGAGGAGTTGAGAAAAGCTGAGTATCAGAGTACCAGGAATGATGGGTTTGCTCCTACTTGGTTAGAAACCACTTGTGTCTTAATGGGACCCCAAAGTTAGCTGGAACAGATCCCCAGCCACTGCATGTTTGCCTGAGGGAGCACAGCAAACGTCCACTTCTGGCACCGTCCGTGGTCCCAAAATGAGCAAGGATCTGCTCACACATTGGACAGTGATGAGCCCAGGGGCTTCTTTTCAGTACAGTTCCCACCAGGACTGCGGGTCTGCCAGCTCCGCTTTTGGCTTCTCTTTGTCAAAATAAGCAGCTCTTAGCCTGTGGGAAGAGAAGGGATTATTCCATGTACAGCACGATCCACCCAGGAGTATGAACTTCCTCTTTGTTCCAAACTGGATCTGCCCAGGGGAGCCCGACAAGGGCTGGTAATCCATTCCCTTCAGCACCTCTTGTCTTGGACATCGGTTCTCACTTGTGGGGTCAAACATGGGCCACTGGTGGGATGATAAAGAGCCAAATTTTGATTTGGGGTTGGAGCTGTGTAATGGGTTACCACAGACTTCTCTGTTTTGTCTGATTTATAATCTTTGCTAATTATTCCAATAAATCAGTGTTTGAATTAAACTTGCTGTTGGTACTAAATGTGAAGGACTGGAGCTACTCTTGGGGAACTCACAGGAAAAAATCCAGCTGAGAGAACTAATAAGCCTTAGCTTGGCAAAATGCAAGCAAAATTTGTAGATACAAAAGCAGTATGAAACACACCAAAAGGATGGAGCTCCCTGTGTTAGCACACCATAGTCATCACTTTGCCAATAGCATCTTCATCACCATGACATCCTCAGGTCCTACTTGTGGGTAAAGACCAAAGAAGACACACTGCTGTCCCAATGCTTTCTTACATTCTATGAAATCTACTGTAATAAAAAAAATGTATGTAAATTATAGAGCGCAAATTAAGCAAAGACACTGCTGAAGTTCTTGTGTGGGCTGATTAGGGCAAGGTGGTTGCAGGTGCAAATTACTGTGCCAAAATCTTGCTGCTTTTCAGAAACAGTGCGAAAACCTTCTCAGATTGAATGTATGCAAGATTTCTTCCCTACGTTTTCAAACAAATAATAACCTAATACCTGGGAAAAAAAAAAAAGCCATATATTATCTGAGTGCATTCAGCTAGCTACCAAACCAAAAAAAATACCATTTTCTTCACAGCCTGAGCTAGCCCCTGCAGAAAGCATGAAACGAGTGAAAATGTAAAGCAGCCTATGCTCTAATAATAACCAGGTTTTGCATGCGTGTTCAGTCACTGCTGTTGGTTTTGCTTGCTCACTACAGCTCTTGTGCTCCACCCTTCTCTTTTTTTTTTTTTGTTTGTTTTTTTTTTTTTTTTTTTTTATTTCCCCAGCTTTTGCAATCTGACAGAGGCGGGTGAAAGCAAGTTGAGGGAAAAGGCATTCCCCTGAAGAGGAGCTGGAGAAGAGTCCTCAGTCCTCATCTGCACTCAGTAAAGGACAGCTAGCCACGTCACTTGCTTTAGCATAAAACCATCCCCCCTCAAACGCCGGAGAATCACTGGTTGTTGAACTGATTTTCCAGGTAAGCCTTTTTTTCAAACCGTGAATCTTGGTATCTAAGCGCTCTCTAACCAGGAAGTTAAATCTGCTTGAAGGCCAAACCCAGCAGAAAATGGTGTAACAGCAGAGCAGGGAATGCTCAGCCACTTGGTGCAGTGCTGGTTTATTTACTCATTTATCAGCCTCAAGCAGATCGGGCATTCATGCCATCTGACTTATTTCAGATACCACTGTTGAAAGGGCCTTATAAATACCCACAAGAGATGGACAGATGGACAGGAAAACCCCACAACGTTTTCCCTTTAAGTAAAAGTTACTATACATGTTTTGCCTTAGAGAGCAAAGGAGAAAGAAAGGGAAAACCAGCTCATTGCTGGTGATTCTGGTTTAAAGTTCACATGGCAAGAACTAAGTTTCTGCCCAGTTTTCAAAAATGAATAGAGTTGTAGTTCTGAAGTCTTGGGGAATGAGCCAAAAGCTGAACAAAGAGAATCCCCCGAATAATCACCTGATGCTCCTCACCTGATGGTGGATCATTCAGGCTTGCTTGTTGGATACCACAGATGTGGCCAGTGGCCATGATGCAATAGTTACAGATTTCTGTAACACTTCTATCCTAAAGGTTAGGAAATGTGGATAGCCAAACTGGGGTACCCTCTCCTTCTGCCAGTATATTATGCCAAATGGAAATTTTTCATTTTCATTGTTTTGTTTAGATACTGAAAGTATTTTTCCAAAATTCCCATACAATTTGGGGCGTGCCATTTTTCATTAGATTGAGAATTTAAGCCTGTTGGAATGGTTGAACTTTTTCTTATGATTTTACCTTAAGAATCATATACAGGAACTTGAGAACATTTTGGGACCTCTTGGGTCAATAATCTCAACAACATTGCTCCGTACTTCGAGATGTCTGAAATTTAGCAGTGCCTGGGGAGGAATAACAAAAGTACATGGCTACATCAAAATCCCTTCCTTGTTTCCTTACCATCAAGGGCTGGGAGGGCTCAAGCTGCTTTCCACTCCCATGCTTGTGAAACACAACCTCCCTCTGAGCCCTTCTGCTGTGCTGGGGAGGGTGATGCCTGGTCCCTTAGCCACAGGCAGCCACCCACTGCTGGGGAGACGAGGAGTTGAAGGAGCAAATCCATCCTAAAAAATGATGTCAGAAAATGCGAGGCTCCCTGAAACTTGTAGTTTTGGCTGAAACCTTGGTTTTCTCCTGCTGCTGATGCCAGGCTGTGATTAGAAGAGCTGGGAAGCTAAGCCGTGCTGCGGGGAAGCGGCTCACAGCAGATGCAGCAAAAAACCTCCCACGACCTTTTCTGCCCTGAAAACACCCTTCTGCACTCCAGGTCACATCTGCTACTGCCGGCACAGAGAGCAGCAGCAGGTGAGACAAGCTCATGCCAGGCTGCCTAAATAGTGAAGGAAATACCATGGCAGGGCAGATTTATTTCAGATTTGGTTGCAGAGGAGGCTCTGGATTGCTCTGCAAGAGTGGGAGCGTTTGTTTTCTGATTCTGCTTCGCTGAGTCAAACCACAAGTAAAGCAGTTCAGATCTGGAGAGTCTCAGTTCCTATAATTTCTAGCAGGGAAACAGTGCTGCTACTGTTTTTTGTTCCTTCCTATGGAGATTTGTAGCTTTGCTGGGCAGGAACTCTCTACTGAAATGTGCTTAGCACAGCTGGAGCCTCTTGTCACAGCTGTAAAAGAAACAATTAAAAATAACATTTGTGCTCATCAGCAGTGTCCCATTGGCTTCCCTCGGTGCTAATACTCACACTCAGCTGCCTTTGATGGGGCCATTAGTCAAATCCCACTCCTCTTCTGAGCAGGCTGCCCATACTGATGAGAGCCCCATTATAAGGGATGGGGGAGGATCCTTCTGTCACTTCTGACACAACCTATTATTTTTTTCCACCCTTCTATCAGGCAGCATGGACATCAAAGAGTATTTCAGCAGAATTTCTTACCAGGGACCCTACGATAAGCTGGACCTGGCTACTCTGACAGATCTATTCCAGCACCACATCCGAGCGGTCCCTTTTGAAAACCTCAGCATCCACTGTGGGGAAAGCATTGAGCTGGACCTGGAAGCAACTTACAACAAGATAGTGAAGAAGAGACGCGGGGGCTGGTGCATGGAAAACAATCACCTTTTATCGTGGGTCCTGAAAACCCTTGGCTATGATGTAACCCTTCTGGGATCAAAAGTTTATGTCCCGGAGTACAAGGCATATGCAGATGAAATCGATCATCTGCTGCTAAAAGTGGTGTTAGATGACAAATCCTACATCGTGGACGGGGGGTTTGGGATAGCCTACCAGATGTGGCAGCCAATGGAGTTGATTTCGGGGACAGATCAGCCACAGACTCCTGGGGTCTTCCGCTTCCTGGAGGAGAAGGGGGTCTGGTACTTCGAGAAGGTGAAAAGGAAGCAGTGGGTTCCCAACCAAAGTGTCTCCACTTACCACAATGTAGACAAAGAAGTTTGCCGTCCAGTTTATCTCTTTACCCTTCAGCCACGAGACATCGAAGAGTTCAGAGCCTGCAACACCCACTTGCAGACAGCACCAGACTCGTTGTTTGTGACAAAGTCTATCTGCAGCCTGCAGACTGCCGACGGCATCCGGGCCCTGGTGGGGTGGAAACTCACCGAGATAAAGTACAATTATAAGGATAATATGGATCTGGTGGAAATCAGAATCCTTGCAGATGACGAAATGGAGAAAACACTGAAAGAGAAATTCAATATAACACTAGATAAGAAATTTGTACCCATCAATACAAGCAGGTTGTCTCTGTTTTAACTCAGTGTCTGAATTATAGTTCAATCCAGTGGCATTACATGCAATCCTTCCCCCTCTTTCTGACAAGCATCTAAAGGTTAAGCTTTCTCTTTCCATCTACACCTGTGTAAGGCAGAACATATTAGCATGAATCTGGAAAAGAAATTGATTTTCACAACTGCTGCTGCATCTCTTTTTGGTTTGGGTACAAATAATTTCTTCCTAGCTCAATCAAATCACTCCCCTTCTGTTTGTGCTTGGCTGGAAGCAGACTCTGCCCATTCCCTACTCCTTTCATCTCTTAAAAGCTTTTCCAAATACATCCAGGGTAGCAGGGCAGAGCAACGGAGCTGTATGTCTCTTTATTACTTTGTGCTGCCACCTGGGGAAAATCATGCCCACCTCTTAAATGAATACCATATTATTTTGGGGAATTTAATAGCCAGAAAAACAAAGACATCCAGTGCTGAGTTTGCTGCAGTAAACCAAAAGCCTGTCCTTTTTGCTCTTGTATTCACAACACCCTCTCAGGCAGCAGTTGGGCAGTCCCACGCCTGTGCTGTACTGTGAAAATACTTACAGACTGGCTATTTATGGCCTCAAACTGATGATGAGAAATACTAGCAGACAATTCTGGTTTTTTTTCAGACTTCACACAACTCCCGTTCTCGCAGTGACATAACCAAACACCAGTCTTTCTTTGAATTGAAAGCATCTCCCATGCATTTGGTTTGCTACCACCCAGCAGCAGACTGCTGAGAATACATGCTCCTCTCCTAAGAGTGCTCTTCCCCAAGTGTTATTGCACATTAATTATCATGGCTGAACTCAAACACAGGCACAGACTTATTTTTCTGAAACATATCTGTTCTACTGAGGATGTGTTTGCAGTGATACTAATTATATTGATACAAGGAGAAACGATGAATCTTAATCAGATACCTAAAGGCTAAGATTTTTAGTATGAGAAATTACTCAAATGTAATCACTTTGCCTTTTGAGATGATGCTTGATGTTCCTTTATGTACAAATCGTGCAAGCATTACAACTATGCACTTATAATTAAGTCAATTATATGTGAAATAAAAAAATTAAGAATTGTGAAGTAGAAGTATTACAACATGTATTCCCAAAGTAAAAAATTTCAGTAATGACTGCAGTTGTCCTGATTATTTGTATGCGCTAATATTTTGTAGCTAAGGCTTTTAAAAATACAATAACTCACTGACCCTTTTTTATTTGTTATGCAAAATGTGCAGCTTTCTATAAATAGCAATTTATAGCTAATAAAAGCTGCTGCTATTCTGCACGTTCAAAATGTATTTCATAGAGACACAGTGAATTCCCCAAATCCCCATCTTCCCGGAGTCAAATGCATCTATGTGTGCTTGACTGCATGTGTGCAATAGCCCCCTATAGCGCATGATACTCCCCCATCATATAGGGAAATGGAATGTTAATGATTGATCCTGTAGTGGATTGCAGAAGGAAAAGGGGCTTCTTATAGTGTGGACCAACAGCTTACAACACAGGTGGTCAGAAGAAACTGTCCTGGGAGCTGGCTAGTTTGCAAGCTGTATCCTTCTTTGGCCCCCAAGTTAGCGGAAGAGCTAAAGGAGCTAAACTCAATGGGTTTAGCCTTGCAGCAGCCCGGCAGCTGGGGCAGAGCACCAGGACAGAGGTAAAAGCCCAGCCAGGTCTTGCAGAGGTGTGAGGCAGGAGGAGACCCATGCAGAGCCAAGAAGTACCATCGTTTGTGGGAGCAGGCACGGGAAACACCTATAAAAGGGCTGTGCCTGTCCTCCCCATGCCTAGGTATTTCTTGTGCTTTGGGCTGTTTCATAGGCTCAGGGGAAGGAGTAGGGCATTATGTCCATTGCCCCAGAGATTCAGCATGTGAAGAGGAAACAATAACAGAAACCCCACTTTCCATTCAGCTGATTCATCTCCCTGACCGTGTGCTCTGTCCCCTGCTCTGGCTGCTGCCTGCTTCATGGCACAGCTCAGCGCTTCTGGCCCTCCCACCCAGCACACCCCCAGAAGCAGATTTTATTGCTGAGCAATCAAATGAAGCTCTCTGTTGGAAGAAGAAAAAAAAAAAAAAAGAGGCTCTTCATCTCAGATTGCGCTAGTTTGCTTTTTTCCTTATCACTAAAGTTGGAGGCAAATCCTTAAAGGCATAGCAGGCTCAGCGAGTACAGTGCTCTCCAGGAGCAGCATTCTCACTGCCAAAGGACGGGGCTTCTCTTTGAACCCAAGAGGATTTAGACAGCTAAATGACTTGGTAAATCTGACCTTGTTGCTTTGAGGGTCTGGTATCAGCCACAAAGAATAGCTCAGCGCAGTGTGATTAATTCAGCGGTTGTCATCTCCCACCAATAAATGAGTAACTCCTTGGCTTGGATTACTAGATCTCTATCATAAGTGGCTTCCTACAGGGATCCAGGCCACACGACTGTCAACAATGGAAAATCTATATCAAAATTTGCAGTATTGTTTTGCTGCTTCAGCACGGGTGCAGACATCAAAGTGCACCAGAGACTGAAGCACATGGGTGACCTGCGGGGTTGAGGACGCATTTACAGAAGTTGCTCGTGATATCCATATTATATTTCTCCCTTGCAACCCTAGAGAGCTTCAGTTCTCAATCAGTGACGTGCGAGGTTAAAATCTACTCAATATTGTAAGCAATTTGGGGTCTGGATCATTTTCAGGCTGTCTGTACAGCACCTAACACAGTGAATTGCATGACAGGGCTGTCTACGCATATGTCAATAAAAATAAACCAATAAAATCTTCAGAATATAAAACATTATAAAAGAAGAAACTCTCTCCCCTCTTTTCCTGTTCTGCTGGAGCACGATGCTGTCCCTGCCAGGCAGTAAAGGCAGCCTGGACCTTTAAGAGCCACAGTTCCCAGTTCAACTCTTCCTGGGAACTTTGGAGCAGCCCAGGGTGGAGAGCCTGAGCTCGCTGGAGGAGAGGTGAGTGCCCGAGTGTCTGATCTTTAACTTCAACTTGCAGCTGTGGGTCAGCCTGTTTGGAAGAGCCCACCCCGGTGGGTCTGCATACCATGTGCTTAGCACTGCAGGCATATTAGCAAACTATAAAGTACAGCAACCCCAGGGCTGACAGCATGCGTTGCGTTGCAAGGGCGTTATTCAGGTACAAAGATCAAGTGCTCGAGACTTAAACTAACCTCTTTATGCTGTGCCGTAGCGCGTGAAAAACCCAGCTACTGACTCACAGCGTAACTTAAAATCAAACAAATGGTATAGGCATGTGCAAGAGGATAACCAATGTTGGAAGGCTCTCATAAAGCTTAGCAAAGAAGAACTGTTCGTAATATTCAGCCTAATTATGAAAGGACACAGTGATCCCCAGGGGCACGTGCAGACAGGCAGAACTAATGTCTGAATCCCACTACCCACCAAGCTGTATGAATGCTGAGCACAGCTCGGCTGCTGCAGCAGCAAAAGTAAACAAGGCTGAGATCCGGACTGAGGCTTAAGATATTTGGCAGCCCAGTTTTGGAACACAAACTGTGTCCTGGGCGAGGGCTTGCTCGCTGCTGCAGCCCCATCACTAGTGTGGTGGGAACAGTTGTGCCAAGAAAAAAAAGCTGCCTCTGGGAAGGTGAGGGAGTAAACACTGGTTTATGTGAATGCTCCCTAACTCCAATGATTTTGTACTGGAGTTTTATTATACTTAAACCTCTTTAAGTATTCACTGAGGTTAGAGCCCATTTTGTCAACTACCATGAGGCTGTCTCTACTATACAGATTTTAAATTGATGAGGCCAGAGGAAGGGCAGCTGGGGAAACTGAGGCATGAGCTGTGATTTTTCCAAAACGTGTTTTCCTGAAGTCTCATTGCCAGCACCCCATGGAGGTTGCCAGTGGGGAGGTTGCTCATGGCTGGAAGGGGGGAGCTGATTATAAGGTGCACTCTTGCTGGGGCGATGGGGACACCCAGACCCAGAAGACAGGTTATACAGAGGGCATCAGAGCTGCTGGCCCAGAGCAGGGACTGACTGGTTTTTGCTGGAAAGAAAATTTCAAGCGTATCAGACCCACCAGGCTAATGGACTTGCTTGGGTCCCTCCTGGTCTCAGAGGTTCAGCTCGACACCATCACAGGGAAAAGACATTTCTATCTGGCTACACAAAATGGCTAAAAGTAGGAATAGGAAGAAAAAATGAGGCAGAGGACCAGAGGATGAGCTTGCGAGTGTACACGTGCGCTGTCTGTTGGGGAGGGAATGGCTTTCTACATCCAGCGTTTCCAAGGAGATCCTGCCAGAGATGAGTGCCCTTGTCCTAAAAAAGGGATTGAAAAAAACCCCATAAAATACAGTATCAAAGACACATTACTGTTTTTCATGTAGCCTCTTTGGGTCCTTTTGAAGTCAAAATGTTTATTTCTTATTCCCTTATTGGGATAGTCCTCTATTTTTTCTCATTTACGTGTATTTTTGCATCAGCCAGTCTGAATCCTGGTACCAGTTCAGATCAGGAGCAATACAACTAAGTGAGTTGTGCTGCTGGCATCAAAACTGGAGTTAAAGTCTAGAGATTAGGTCATGTTCACGTATTGGGGCAGAGGTATTTCCACCTATATATTTGAGGTTGGATTTTCAAAATCCATCAGGCCAAGCTGCTGGTCACTCCCAGGGGAGCAGTTGGACCAAAGCAGAGAATAGTTGCTGGAAGGTAACCTCTTCCATCTCATCTACATCGGGTAATTTTTGGAAAATCCTCCCAGGGAACGTGAGCAATTTAAAGAAGAAAGAAATCCTCAGACCTTTTGGAAATTAATACAGTCCTTAGCAAACTGTAAATAGTTCTGGAAAACAAATATCCCTGCATGGAAAAATGCCAAATTAAATCTAAATAAAAGGCAAGAGAAATCCTTGCAGACACCAGATGAGTCATTGGATTAGAAGTGTTACAGGGAACCTTTTGCATTTTGGACATGCACTCAGTACCAATGATAGTCTCTTTCTGCTAATGAAAGGAAAAGTGATGAGAGACATGAAGAAACAAAATATATCCAATAATTTGACCTGAAACTAAGACCTTTGGATTGTAAAAGATGGTAAAAGAAACCAAAAGCCACTGAATATGCCTTGAATGTATTCTTAATAATTATCAATTCCTCTGACCCTTAGGTTAGAAAAATTAACAGTTCCTTCCCTTCAACAGCCAGGGTCAAAGCTCTCTCTAAACTCCACAGGGAAACTGAAGAGATTAAGAACACAGCAACCTTCTTCACATGGATGCCTAAATGTCTAAAATGGTGACACACTGAGATGTTAATCCCAATTAACTGAAGCCATGAATGTAAAACCTTCCAGTTAAATTACCTGTGGGATAACTAAAGGATTGCTTGTCTGTTATGGTAAAAGAAACACTAAGAAATTGCTGTGAATTTTATGCTGGTATGGTCTAGCAGCTTTTCTGCAAACCTGTTGTCTGTTTGTTTGATTAATTTTTTGTCATGTAGCACCCCTGTCTGGGGCCAGAGATTCCGTTGTGCCATGTGCCATGTCTCCCCATAAGAAAGACATCCACCTGGGTTGAAGGCAACGTCCGAGGCAGAGAAAGCATTATTGTCATCTGCTCCTATCCTCATCCCTTTTTTAAGAAATACAGATGACACAGGCATGCCTAGCCTGCATTCATCTCCTATCACGGGCACAGATTTCTTTTAAATCCTCAATAAAATGGCCTAGGCTACATTCTGCAGGCTGTTTAACCTGTGCTACAGAAGTAGGAGTGAACCCCTTGACAGCTGCACAACAGTAACTGGCTATTTTTCTGCTCACACAGGCAAAATGAACATTCAAGAGTATTTTGCAAGAATTTCTTACAACGAGTCCCATAAGGATGCAGACTTGCAAACTTTAACAGTCATTTTCCAGCATCACATCCAGTCGATTCCTTTTGAAAACCTCAGCATGCATTGTGGGGAGAAAATTGAACTGGATTTACAATCTACTTACAATAAGATTGTGAGAAAGAAGCGTGGTGGATGGTGCATGGAAAGCAACCACCTTTTATTTTGGGCCTTGCAAGAATTAGGGTATGACATCTGTATTCTTGGAGGAAATAGTTATGAACCAGCAGAGAGGACATACACTGCTGAGATAAATCATATCCTACTGAAGGTGGTGATCAAGGGAAATTCCTACATAGTAGATGCTGGTTTTGGTGGTGCCTACCAAACATGGCAGCCATTGATGTTGATTTCTGGGAAGGATCAACCCCAGATCCCTGGCATCTTCCGCTTCATGGAAGACAACGGCACCTGGTACTTTGAGAAAGTCAAAAGGAAGCATTATATTCCCGAACAAAGTGTCCCTTTCACTGGTACCCATGAACTGGGGAATATCAGAAAAATATATAAATTCACTCTCGAGCCACGATGTATAAATGACTTCCAGGAGCTAAACACATACCTACAAGTGTCTCCAGACAACATACTTCAGAAGAAGTCAATCTGCAGTCTCCAGACCACTGAAGGGCTTCATAGCTTAGTTGGGTGGACCTTCACTGAGGTGAAGTATAACTACATGGAGGACGTGGACCTGGTGCAGATCACAACTCTTACAGATGAAGAGATTGAGAAGACACTGAAAGACAAATTCAATATAGTGTTGGAGAACAAACTTGTACCAGTAAACATTCGTGGCTTGCCACCTAATTTAGTGGATATGATCTAATTCTAATGCTGTGCTAGATGGATCTTTAAATATCCACTATTCTAAAATTAACATTAATAATATTAATCTGATTCTAAAGTTGAGCTAGTCAGATGAACACAAAGCCTGGTAAATTCAAATACATTGCTAATTAACTGCATATACCACTTTCATATTTTTTCTTAAGCTTCTCCTCCTTTAGAAACTGAAATATCTTACTACCTCTAGTTTCCTCATATGGAAATTGCTTTTTGACTCTGTAACATTTTGTTCCATCTCTCTGGATCTCATTTTATTTCAGATATCTTGTGTGGCAAAGGAGACCAAACAATACAGAAGGAGAAACTTGCTACCATTTTACACAAAAGACTAACATTTTTTGGTATTATTTCCAAATTTCTTCTCATCAGAGTTTTAGAAATTATTCACTTCCTTTAACAGTCTGAAATAGAAAGTTGAGCTGAATTTGGCTTTTTTTTAAAAAAAGAAAGCTTAAGACTTCTTCAAAACAAGTAACTTTCAGGTGCTGATTAGCTTATGATGAAAAAAATTGCAAGACTTGAGTCCTATTCCCTTACCAGAAATTGACTTACAGTGAGCTATTTATGCAAGGGCATTTAAAAAATCCCCAAAGCTCTCTAATTTTGAGTGTCCAGTTTTTCTGAGTCTGATTTTTTTGAAATTGGCTCTGACGATTGAAATAATTGAAACAAATCTAAAATCGAAACAAAATCAGTAAAAACTGAGACAATTTAACAGTTCTTAAAAATCAAGCTTTTGATATAAAAATGGAAAAAAAGTTAGATCAGCCTTTGCAAACTATAATCAAAACTTTTGTGGCCTAACCTTCCTGTGATGTCAAGCAGGCATGGTAGTATTATACATAAAACTCTTCATACTTCTTACAAATGGTATTCTGCACAAAAGCAGAGTTACTTAAATAAGTAATAATGCAAATGAAAAAGAAAACACTGAGAAATTAGGACATGCCACTGGTGTGTTTTTACAGCATGTTAACACAAAAGCCTTTTACCTTTACAATACCTGTGGCAGGTACTGTACAGGACGTGTCATGAAACAGGGTGACAGAAGAGCATTGTTTCTCAGCCAGGGAAAAGACTTTGATGCTCATATTGGCAGTCACAGAGACTCACAGGACACCTGATGTGCCTAAAACTCAGGTGCTTTCCCAGATGCAGTCTAATGTGCTCTTTGCCTTCCCAAAAGGGACCTCCGACTTTCCACCTCCATCAAATGAGGAGATGGACTTGACAGAGAATTAAATAAACAGCCCTGCAACGTTTTGAAGTTGAAGAAGGCTGAGTTTTAGAGAGGAAATGCATAACTATGTGAAAATAAATCTTTGTCATGGTGTTTGTTGCGTATGGCAGCCCCAAAATAACTACCTGCTGCAGCTGAAGCTTTGAAGAGGTGGAAAAAGTTCCTTTGTGGTCAAAGAAGGGCCATTTTGTGCATCCACAGAGCATGGCAACACGCAGCCTGCAGCAGCTTGACTATTCAGTGCACCCACAAGGCAGAAGATGACTATCCTCCACCGCAAAGTCCTGGCTTGCAAAAACCCAATAATTTAATTTTAAAAAGTTACGGAGCCATTTGGAACTGTCTACTGTAATTATTTTACATGGAAAACAAGTTCAGCCTGGTCTTAACCAGGGGAAAACATCAACATCTACTAATAGAGAAGAAACAAAGTTTAATTTGCTCATGGATCAGTGAAGTCCAAAAATGTGCATTCATTTGGGGTGGACTCTACCCTTTCTCGGCATTTAAGACTCTGGAGTGAGGGTCAGCAGAGCTTAGAGGGGGACAACCCTGGCAATTTGTATCCACTCCTGGCTTTACTGACTGCTGCCCCAGTAATAAACAACCCAGAAGCTGAATACATCAATAAGTAAATACGGCTATTTTAAGAGGTAAGTTTATTTTCTTAAGAAAAACTCCAAACAAATAAACAAAAAACCTGTTTTCTTTATGATGGTAAACGTCATGGGCAACAACATAAGCAATATTCTCTTTTGGAAAAATGTTATAAAGATGTGTGGATATAGAGCTAAAATATCGGCTGCTAAACATGAGCTCTTAAAGAGGGCAAAACAGTGATAATGCAATTTCAATTCTTCTCTCTTTTGCTCTTCAGGAGGTGATACACTTGACTATGAGAGATAATTGTTTTGTTTAGATACAGTAGTAGATATAAATTTAGAACTACAACCTCTTGTTGGAATTTAGTATTTTAGATTTTTAACTTTAAAAATATTGCAAATGCAAAGGAAGAAAAAGAGCAATCTAATAATCAATAGATTCTGCTTTATGGGAATAAAATTACAGTCCTTTAAAAACAACTTAAAAGAAATGGCAAACTGTGGTCTATGTACCTCAGAAAGTCCATGTGCTGACGTATCAGGATAAAAGTAGACAGATAACATATTTTAACAGTGGAATTTCTGGTAGTGTGTATAGTCCTGGTAGGGAATACTTTTGTATAAGCACCTTCATTTGCACATTTAGAAATAGTTCTTTAAAGTTTTCTGCTGATGTTTTTCTCTGCATAAATCACAGCCACATTTGTGGGACTACCTTTTCAGTATCTAGCTTTTCATCTGATCTGCTCACAATTCAAAAGAACAGTAGCTTTCATCTCCTACAGTCAAGATCTAACACTGATCAATCATATTATGAAGCTGCTGAGAGAAATTACAAATAATATAAACTTGAGAACCATCTTTATGCTGGCGTGATCTATTTAGCCTTCACAATTTGAGCGGGTAGGATTGGATAGACTTGGGTTCTGCAAATCAGAAGAAAAAAGTGCCATAAGGCTTATGTTCTACTTAAACATTATATTGAGAATATCCTCCAACAATACACTTAAATACCACTGGAAGCTAAATTCCTTTCTGTAGAAGATAACATGCGGATTCTGATGGGGCTCTCCATTCACTTTGGACAGCTGCTTCTATACCATGCATATGCACATCATGAATCTGTCACTAAAAATCATCTTGAGAAATTCTAGTTTGCAGTAAACACTCAACAGTTCAACCACTGAATTTATCTGAATACAATAGTCTTCCTGAGTCGCTAATATTAAGTGTTTAAACCTCAGCCTAGTGTATGCACAAAAGATTTCCAAGTAGCTTTGTGGGCTGTCAAGAAGCTAAATATTTGCAGTAACTTTAGACTCCTGAAACGTTTTGTGCTTTCTTTGCAAAGGCTCAAGCCTTCAAAACATTTCGTGCCCAGCTCCATACCCAAGCAGACAATCTATAGTGTATTTTACAAACCGTATCTGTCAGATACCTCAGATACCTGCCAGTGGCCAGCAGACGGTGATGAGCCATTGTGAAAGCCAGGTGACTGTGCGTGATTTTCCACAGTATTAGAAGGCAGAAAATAAGTTGAGTAGTTGCTCATCCAGAAACCTTGCTCATGAGGAGTCCTACCAAGGCAGGGTAGGAGGTGGGCACTGCTGGAGACACGACAGATCAGGGATGCGTTGTATGAGGCTTCGGGAATTCACAGTTATGCCTCCTCTGAAAATAATAAAGTGAGTTTTGAGAAAGGCCAGGACTACAGAGATGTAAAGCAGCTCCCGTCCATCATCAGGGCACCCTGGAAGATGTGGGGCATGATGGAGAATGGAGATGTGCTCTTTGTCTTTTAGGTCACTTGCCTCCATTCAGATTCATTATTCCAACACCAAAATGAGCTTGTGCAACACTCTGAGCAGACAAGAGACTCAGTGGTCTGCGACTCTTGCAAAGGTCAGAGGTTTTTTTCAGTTATAATTATCTGAATAAAACTTGACACTTTACAAAATGCGCAGGGAGTATAATTTTCATTTTTTGTAAGTGGTGAAAGAGCACCGTGTACCAAACAAGCAGTTCATTTACTGTCACGTAGATCAGTGGCAGGCTCATGAAAAGAACATGCAAATCCTGGCTCAAATTATCCTCCCTCCAACTGGCAGACAACACGCTTCCCCCACTGACACTCCTTTCACTGAACAGTGGATTTAGACCAGTTTTCATGAACCCTCCTGAACAATCCCTAGCGTGATCTTACATTTCTTCTTAACCCTGCTGTTCCAATGCAAATACAGCAAATCCCTGTTTCACAGCCACCGCATATCAAGCTGAAATTGCATCAGCTGTTTGCCATAGGGATGACTCTAAGACGAAAAGCAAACCCTCACATGCACTGCCCTTCTTTGCTCAGGGAAACATTTGATATGAATGCTTGCTACCTTTAAAAACTGCTCTGATGAGGTTCAGTAGATTAAAGCATCTTTGCAGGCAGCGGCTTGGGCAGTTTTTCATGGCATCATAAATCATTGATGTAAAGAAACAAAATGAAAATGCAATTCCTTCCTTTACAGGTGACATGAACCTTGAAGAGTATTTTACTAGAACTGGCTATAAAGGTTCCCTTGAAAAACAAGATTTGGAAACCTTAACTGATATATTCCAGCACCACATCCGTGCTGTTCCCTTTGAAAACCTCAGCATCCATTGTGGGGAGAAAATTACTTTGGAGTTGGAGCACGTTTATAACAAAATTGTGCGGAGGAAGCGGGGTGGCTGGTGCATGGAAAACAACCAGCTGTTGGGCTGGGTCCTGAAACGCCTGGGGTACGACGCCAGCTTTCTGGGAGCGTATGTGTTCAATCCGCATCAAAACGCATACGCCACCATCATGACCCATCTCCTTGTAAAGGTAGTTATTGATGGCAAAGCCTATATTGTTGACGGAGGGTTTGGTGTATCCTATCAGATGTGGCAACCAATGGAGCTTGTGTCGGGGAAAGACCAGCCCCAGGCTCCTGGCATCTTTCGCTTCACAGAAAAAAATGCCATCTGGTACCTTGAGAAAATGAGACGGAAACAATATATCCCCAATCAAAATTTCTCTAATTCTGATCTTCTGGAGAAAAAAGAGTGTCGGAAAGTTTATATGTTCAGCCTTGAGCCACGGACAGTGGAAGATTTCGGTTTCCAGTGCACATACCTTCAGACATCTCCAGATTCCCTCTTTACAAAGAAGTCCATCTGCACCCTCCAGACCACCGATGGCTTTCGAGCGCTAATTGGGTGGACACTCACTGAGACCACATACAACTACAAGGAAAATATGGATCTGGTAGAATTTGTAACTCTTGAAGATGAAGAGGTGGAAAAAACACTCAAAGAGAAATTCAACATAACCCTAGATAGAAAACTTGTCCCAATTAATGTCAAAGGATTTTACACCATCTAGATGACCAGAAAAACCTACAATAATGCTACGTATGTACAGCACCATCCACGGTCTGTGCAATCACTACTGTAAGATTATGGGATTCTTTTGCAGGTGATTGAAGGAAAAATACATTAATATCAGATTAAAGTGAATTTCACTCTGGGAAAAAATCAGGAATTTAAGACTCTTCTGCCAGGTAGATAAAATTATTTGCTGTGAGATGACTGCAGTTCAATTTTTGGCACAAATGTAGGATCTGATTTGAATTTGGCTGTAAACTTGGGTAATAAATATGTCTGGGGAATTTTGGAGTGCCTATAGCACATAAATAGGAGTATGGATTATTAATTGTGATATGCTGCCAGCACATTTTCTATGGTTATTATACAGAGAAAAGTAATCTGTGAGCATTTAGACAATGAAGTACACATTTAAAACTTCATTTTTCACAAGATCTAACCACTTGCAGCTCATCTCATTTCTCTACCTTTAATATAAGTAAAACAATGTCATCTTTGAAAGGAGCATTAGGAGGCATAATTCTTTCACTGTCATCCTTAGACAAAACATAGTACAGAATGAAAATTATCATCATGTGCATCCCTTTTGTCATGGCTGCAGTAAATTGCCCAAAGTAATTTTTGGTATGTGCGTATTTTCTGGTGATGTAAATTGTATATATTGCAGCATTACTGTGGCTGATGGGTTTTAAGATACCTACAAGCCTTGCTGCTGATAAGTAATCGCCCTATGAAGGGGAATGGTGCTTAAACATCACAACTGGCTTAGATTGACTTCTATCCCAAAAGGGGTAGTAATTTTGTATTTTTAGCATTTCAAGTTTTTCATATAACAAAGGCATAACAATGAAGCTAGCTCCACTATACCTGTAATTTTTCTTGTGTATAGCAAATATGGGAGTCCATATGGCTATCCTGACTGAGTACCAATTAACACAGAAGCTTCAGTGTCACAAATGAGTTCATTCATCTGTATCGAAGTGAAAAAAAAATCAAGAAGCCAACCAAATCTAAAGGTATCCCTTTCTTTACAATTGTTCCACAACCACATTTCCTCGCTCTTTTTTCTTCCAAAAGGCCCCACAAGGAAGCCACTGAGAAAAGGGAAGCATTCTCAAATGCATCAAAAAAATAGCAGTAATAATAAAAAACACCCTTTCCCGTCAGTCTGTGATAATCCTGTGTGTTGGTCAAATGTTGATTCCTCCCACTGATAGTATATCTTTTTGCTCAAAGGCATCATCTGATCATAAATCTCACAAATGCTGCAAGTGTATACCTGAAAATAAATAAAGGAATATAAAAACATGAAGAGTTGCTGTATATACAGCCTCTGCCCAAAACTGCATGACTCCTGCACACACCATTTGCAAAGTAAATGAGGTCTGTTCGATCGTGCTATTGATCTGCTGGTCAACCCTCCCCACCACAAACTTTTTGAACCAGAGGCCAATACTGAACAAATTTGACAGCAGTGTTGGAGATGGTAAGTTCCTACAGATTCCTGGAGAAAGAGCTTGTAGGCTGAAGATGACAACAATCACCGAAGAGAAGGCCCAGTCGTCACCTCCTCTGGTGGTCCCAGTCTCCTCTGGTGGCAGCTGGTGGCCTGGGCACACACGTACTTGCACAGGGACAGGGAACCAAGGACTGAGTAGGTGATAGCAGACACAAAGATCTTACTGAGGTGGGAACACAGTTTTTCTGTAAATAACGGAACTAAAAGCTTTGTTCTCTAATTTGTGCTCATATTATTCTCTCATATGAAAGCCCCATTAAGGGTTTTTACCCCTTTCTAAATGATTGATGGAACTGAGGTGTTCCCCGAGACTCCAAGGAACATTATGAGCTTCACAATACTCACCACCTCCATTCCAGCTGACAGAAATTCCCATCTGCTTTCACTCAGGTCACCAAACCATATCTCTCTATGCAATGAATAACAGTTGTTTTCCGGTGCTGCTGTCATTTGCCTTGAGTTCAGTCATTAACAGACTGGTTATTTTGCCTCCATACTTCTCTAGGGATGTTCCTGTTGTTGCTCCCAGCTAGTTGCTCAGGTTATGGTGTGCAAGGGTTTCATGCAGAATTCTTCTTGGGCAGAAGTCTGCAGGCTCATACTGGTATTTTTAACTGTGCCTGCAATAATGGGACTCCACCCAGATACCCCCTGCTACTATTCAGTTCTTAGTAAAGATCTGTGGGGCTGCCAGTGTCTGAAGCTTCAACCCTCTCTCTGACTCCATCTGTTGGTAACTGCTCCGAGTGGGATTCTTCCTTTCAATGTCACAATTATAACCAGGTCCTCACTGTGCAACATCAGGTCACACGAAGAAATGTCAACACATACAGCTGTGCGGAAGAGTTTCACAGTTTAACTAAAGCTCCACAAAAGCTGAGGAAAGCAGGTTATTGAGGTGTGAATGGCGAATCCAAAACGTCTCAAAGGTTTGAGATGGGAATAGTGTAAAAATAAACAAAACCAAACCAACCCAGAGGACTCATGCTGGGGTTCCATTAGCAAGGCATTATTGTATAAGGCAGATGCTCTCCCAGACTCAAAGAAAAGAAACAATCAAGACCTTAAAGCATCAGCTCTCAGAGAAACCTGCATTCACATGCAGAAGGGAAACACAGGGCATTTGACATCCTTCACTACCACTATGCTTTATTAACACTCTCTAAGAAAGGTTTAATGAGAGACTAAGCTATTGTGCAGTTTTAGCTGTTGACTGTTTTTGAAATGAAGCAGAACAAATGCTTGTAACCCCCCCACTCAGGACTTGTCTAATTCCAAATACAATTTAAAAGTATGGTATTCCAATTAACAAAAAGATGAGACAATTTATTTTTAAGTCTGAATGCTGAATAAAGTCCCAGAATCCCAGCCCAGCTGCCCATTACACACACACGCAATGCCCAATGGCAACAAGAGCCATCCGCAATTGAGGAATTGTGTAATTGAGCGGCTTATTAGAAAACAAGAGACATAACAGAAGAAACACAGTTCAAACTCCGTGGCACCACTGAACATCCCCCTTCACCGCTCCCAAAGAGTCAAAGTTTAATCAGCTCATGCATTACTAAAGGGAGGATACAGGATGGCTCACTTCAGTTGGACTTTGGTCCTGCACTTTTTACAATCCAACACTAAGCAGAATAAAAGTAACAAAACAAGAAACATCAGCACCAAAGATGAAGTTGTTCTATACTTACATGTTTCCAACATCAGCAGTTATTACAGAAATAAACACTGTCAGCCTGTCAAAGTGGGGGACAAAACTTCACATGACAAGAGACTTGCTTAAACTTAACACTGTGAGCTGTCAGCGAGCACGAACTACAACGTACACTTCGCTTTGTTCGCTTTAACAGGTACCTTAGTGTAACAGGCACAAACACTTGTGGTGTGATAGCTCTTTACCAATTAAATTTTGCAAGCAGCCATTTTCTCCAACAAAAATTCTTACTACCTATCCTAACTTGCTTTTGTTCTCAAAGAAACGCCTTTCCTTTAGAAACATGACCACGTGTGAAAGTTCTACAGCCTAGGAAGCTGCACATGAAAATGCATCTGCATTTGAGACACTGTCAGAGCCAAGAAAGCTTGAATTAATGTAGGTTCGCATTATGAATATTTCACCGCTACACTTACATCTCTGTCAAGAGTAGTTCAAGCACAGATTTCATACAGCAGAATGTTTCTACCCTGGATAGGAAGCTAGAGCCAGACTGAAAATACATACACATATATATTTATAAGGTTGGAAATACAGATGGGCATTTCAGAAAATCCCATCATAAAATGCCTGCTTGTAACTGAGCAATTAAAGTACATTTAAATAAGTCACACAGGGCTGATTTTTAGTTTTGTCTTGCTCATAATAACGCACTATGAAGAGATCGTACTAAAAATTAGTAGCTGGTCTTACTGTAGCATTTCAATAGCTCACCTAGCCACCAGCTGAACGTGAACAGCAGAGCAACCAGATTTGAAGACAATAAACCAAAATCTACCATTTCTTCACAGCTGGCGTTGGGCATGTTTAGGAAACAGAAGAACCACCCTTATCCCCTCCCAACGTCCAAAATAATGGATTTTCTAGGAAGCTGTTTAGAGTTCACTCACACTCTTACCCATGTACCATGCCACTCACATTTCCAGCCATCCCTCAGGAAACGACATGAAATTAAGTCCCAGTGTATGGCAGAATGCCCTTTAACTGTGCAAAATCACCCCCCATTGGGCTGAACAGAACTCCAATTCAAGAGAGCTCTTGGCATACAGCCTTGGCAAAAAAAGACTTAACACAGAGTTCATCTGAGCCACTAATTGTTATAAAAATTACCCAAAATGTCCTTTGCATGACACCACCAGAACCTTCTCCAATCCACAATCTTTCTGGAAAAGCAATTGCAATGACATCTCCTGGTTTCTGGTGGTTCACTAGAACACACTTTCAACTATCCAGCACAGCTATGCAGAAATTATCTCTCCACTGAAGAAATGTGGTCAGATAGAGAGGAATAATTTTCCTAATAATAAGCAAGAAAGAATAATGGGATATATTCTGAGTTTTTCTTGTGATGACCAACAATAAATCATTTCTTAGCTCAGGTCACATCTTCCATGGGAAGAAAAATGTCTTGCCATCATTAACTTCTTTTCAGCTAGCAATAATATATGATCAGGTTTTAAGTAATTGAACCAGTAGCATTTAATTAGCTCTGAAAAACTATTTCAGATCATGAATCACAGACTTTCCGCCCGTATGAGGTCCCCTTATTAGGTTAAAAGTGTACTTCTCTTTCCATGTGTGATCCATCTTGAATATCTAATGAGGTGCTCTTGATACATGGATTATAATTCACATATCACAAGCAAAATATGGCAGACACACAGTCTCTTTCTTTATATAACTGAGTTTCATGTCTTGCTTCACTTTGTTAAAAAAAAGGACTCTCGTGTCCATAACAGAATAGCCGCTACTTGCTTCAATTTAACGAATTCCTCTTTCTCCAGAGAATCAATATTAAGGATAAGTAACTTAGATGTCTAGCTGGGGAAATGAAGTAATAGAAAGAAGTATTTCTCATTGAAAGGCAGAATATAGAGAACTGCTGTAATTTTAAGCAAGACCACGTTGACATTTTTCAATAGGCTCAGAACACTGACTGACCAAAGAGCATGGTGTTTCCATTCTAACATTACTTCAGACAGCTTCATTCCACACTAAACAGAGAAAGACAGTGCAGTCAACTACTATCTGGGGACATCTGTGGCCAGCAGAAAACAGGATCACTTCTATGAGATTGTATTAAGCAAAATTTTTACATTAAATCAGCTAAACCACAATCATTAACCACAAAAAACCCCTCAGTTTTTATTCAACTTTCAAATATGTTTCTGAAGCCATTATTATGTTTTTATGACAAGATCTAGATAATTATAAGATTGGATTTCTTTTTCTGAAAAAGAGTGAAGATCGGCAAACATATTTTGGAAGACAGAAATTAAGACTCACAATCTGCTTAAAGTGTTAAACTGTAAGTGTTGCCCAATATTTAGCTTGCTCTATTAAAAAAAAAAAAAAGAAAAAGTTTTACTACAAACCCCTCTTTTTAAATAAGCTTTATAAAAAATAAAATTCAAAAAAATTGATTTTATCTCTGTTCTTTTCCCATCTTCTTTTTAGCACAGAAAAAAGAAAACAAAACATGTTTCTGTTTTTCAATCTGAAGACATAAAGGTTTTAATTTTCATAATAAAAAAAAAATGAAAGCTGAACTGCCTTACTGCATTGGACAAAGCTCATCTTTACTCCAAATACTTCTTTCAGATGTTATCATAAATTGTAAATAATGTTGCTCTTGACTGCATGTGACACTCAACATAGTTATGCACAACATTTAAAAAGACTGATGGTATTAGTGCCCCACACATTAAACGCTGCTGAGAGGAAGGGATGTATGACATCCATTATACGCACATCCACTCTGAAAAACGTTTGTCACGTGGATGGTAGAAATTTCAACGAGAACAGACTCATATTTACAAATCTATCCTTTACACTAAATAGCAAAAACTCCAATCTCCAGTTTGCGGTACTGTATTTGGTAGATAACATTTCTATTAGCTCCAGTTGTGCAGTTGACATTAATCCTGAGGTTTTAAGAACTTTTTCTTAACTTTTTTGCTAGGTCTTGTGTTACTATTCCCATCTTCATCGTCATCTTCATCCTGGAGTACATGCTGGTCTCTCTTTCTCAAGAATTTCTTCCCCACTGTTCCCACTAACGTTTCATATCTGGAAAGATAACAAAAAACTTACAACTTCTAATAAAATCAGAGAAAACTTCAATGGAGCAAATCACAATCAACAATTTAAGTGGTGCAAAAAACCTGGTGATCAGAAGCTTAAGAAGCACAAGTACTACATGATCACTTATTACGTTATTATTCATGCTGATAGTTTGGGTTTGTTAGCAATCTGAAACAAGGAGGGAATTAGCATGGAATACCTGGATATCAAAGGGCAGAAAACCCCTACAAAATATTTTACTCCCAAAAGTTATGGAGAATCCACTGAATACCCACCAGAGTATCTGGAAAATCAGCTCTGTGAAGTACTATATCTGTTGGTTTTTTGTTTGTTTGCTTTTTGGGTTTATTTCCTGCACATAATGCAGTAACATACCATATTCCTAGCTAATATTGATGATGTCATAAAATACAACCTACCTTCTGGCCATTTCTTCATCCGACACATCAGCCTCCATTTTATCATCCACTTCAATTTCTTCTTCCTTGCATTTAGAGTTCATCTGGATCATTAACTTCTGAAAATGAAGTAAGAAATAGCTTAAACATGTAACCCTGACACAATAGCAACTATGCTGAAATTCACTGGCAGGAGAAATGCATAAAAGGTAAGAATTGCTGTTCTCAATCAGGCTAGAGCATACTGTTACAAAAAATCATGAAGTAAAGACAACATGCCTGCCTGTTGCTAAACTGGGCTTAGAGTTTGCCTTTGGGAAAAGAGGCAACAGAGAGACAGGGTTTTCAGTGAATTGTACTATTCAAACATCCTCAAGGGCATGCCAGACATCTTCAGGAGAATTAGATCATAATTAATTTTTCATTGTGATGTTAGCACATAGTCCTTGAAATGGTTTTGTTAAGAAGGAAAGAGATCTGCAAGGATTTACAATAAACTACTATGAAAAACCATGAAGCAATAACACGCCAAGTCACAGTGAGAGCAAGTTCAAAATAACTAAAAGAATCCCCTAGTAAATCACCTTGCATAGCCTTTTGCATAACTCTTAGTCTTTACACCTTCAACCTCATGCTTCAGTTCAGTGGTAACATTTTTATTACTATCTCAGTATAGTTCTATCAGCATAAATCATGCTAGAAAGAAATTAAAGACTCACTCTCTTGCCCAGAATTTTTACTTTGGAACTTTAAGCCCTTACTTAGACAAGTAAGTGTTGAATAAATAGGGTTGAATGTTTTTAGGATTGGACTGCAAATTAAATGGCAGGAGGAAAAGTGAGCTATTGTTTTGGTGAGAAGCATGTGGGACAGTTTCTTCACTTCAGGGAGGAAAAATCTGCAGGAGTCATGCAATTACTGACCATCAACACAAGCAGATAAAAAGCTTCTATTTACCAGATGCTGCATAGATCAACATTTTCGTTTGAATCAAACTTCCTGTGCATGGGAGGATTTATGGAAGGTGCTGCAAAGGCCAAACCATGCAGTGTGAACACTCAAATCCCCATCCCTAAGGGCTTCAATCCTAATGTGAGACCACCACAAAACAGAACATTTAAACAGTACCTCGATTTCAGGATTGAATCCTTTGAAGGACATTCTGCCATAAAGTAGATCCTCACATGGCATAAAGCTCCTCTCTTCTATTATAAAGCTCCTGCATGAAAGCCCAAACCCAGCATTTTGTCAAACAGTGCGCTTCAAAATAATCAAATTAAACAAATGCAAAAAGCATTTGCTGTCTTCCCCCTGCACAAATAAACAAAACCACAGTGTATTTTAAACCATCAACTACTTTCTGAAGCTTAATTGCTCTGATAAATCTTTCAATACAAGGCGCTTGGAGTGCAAAGGAATACTTTTTGCCAGTAAAGCCGTGCCAGTTCCACAAGCAAAATTAACTCTCCTGACAAAAAGCACTCTTTGCTGGTATGATTCCACCTACATTAATGCTTTTGCCAGAATAAAAATACCACATAAATATCACTCTCCAGGTGGCATTACTATAACAGCAAAAGCTTCTAATTAATTTTTCATTGTGATGTTAGACCTGGCATTAGTTGAGTCTGTCAGGATATAAAACACTGTGTAAGTCTCTGTTCAGCAGAGAAAGATTTCCTCTTTCTCCCTCTTTTTTTCCTCTTTTAATGACCATGGAGCGAGAAAAGAAACATGACCCTGAGGTGTTCATAATACACGTGTTAGATAAAAGTACTTCCGTGAATTGTTCCATCCTTCTTTTCCTTGCACACATATGCACCTCATCCCTCATCCTCTTCATCTCCCATGTAAAACAAACTCCTACGATTGTTGGAAGTTAGGCTGAAGAGATCAACCTAATTCTTCTACTTCCAGGTAGGATCAGTTAAACACGTACCATGAACAGCAGAGGTCCATCTAACCTCTCCTCAAAAGACTTCCAATGATGAAGAATCCAGTGTCTCCTTAGGCAATCTATTCCAGAGCTTCAATGCCCTTATTGTTAGAAAAATTCTCCCAATGTCCAGCTTGAACCTTCCTTGCTGCAACTGAAGCTCAAATACCTTTTTGTCATTTCCACCAACAGTAATGGAAAATAGTTTAGCAATGATCTTATTCAACTATAGTTAATTCCTTGGATCTCAGCTTTTAAAAAATTATGTATGTTCTCCCTCAATAAAATTTTTGTCCTCTTTTGAAAGGACAAAAATCAAGCAATTTTTAAAGTGGTTCTCTTGCTATTTAAAGTGCCTTTGTACATAGCAGGAATGGACATTTCCTTCCTTATTTGCTAAGCCTTCCTTTATTTTTGCCATTATCTCTTCTATTTTAAAAACAGGATTTGAAGTGAGCTGGACTCAAGAAGACAGAACTGTCCTGAATGGACCTAACTGTGTTAGTAAATCCAGCTTCAGTCACACAAGGTTTCAAACTTATTTTTTTCAAATGAAAGGAAAAAGCAGCAATGAATTGGTCCCTGCCTGAAAGAAACTAATTACATGCATCTAGAAGAATGTGTGAGTGAAAGAAAACAACACACACAAGAAATGAAAGTAGGTCAAACTGCACTAGGCAACCTTGAAAATGTCCCTGAAAATAAGTAATAAAAAAAGCTGCAATGCCAGTCTGTCACTATTTTTTCTTGCTAATTGGTTATTAACAATACTTCTTTTATAGAAAAAATTATGTATATTATATTCCCACTCCACAACAATCCAATGATGATAAGAAGTACAAAAGGGTACAAGCTTACTCTTTCTCCTTTAGATCTGGTAAATCAAGATACCAGTGTTCTTCACTAATTATCTTCTTTTCTTCTTCTTCTAGTTGTTTTTTAGTTTGTGAATCCAAACCCCTTTGCATGAACTAAAAAGACAGACATAAACACACAGCTTCAGTTTTTCACATCATGTTCTAAACATGCAATAATTACATGACGACAATTATCCATAACACAATATTTAGCAGTTGATAAAAAGTAAATTTTTTTTTCTGACTTTTCTCTGGGTTAGGTCTAAGTTTGGGCAAATGGGAAATGGAAAAGTAAACAACTACATCTACTGGAAGTCAACACTCAGCCACATCTATACTTACATACAAAGAAACTTACCTTTCTTGATTAGTTTAGATGTATCTGAGTTGTAACAACTCCGTAAGTTTGCTAAGATTTTTCTAATAGTTCAACAGAGGCTAGAAAGAATGTGATGGTGTTAAAAGTTATTGCTGAATATGAGAAACCAACACGACCTGTACTAACAGCACTCAGAGCTAGAGGTACACCATACCAGGTTGGCCATATTTTTGAAACATCTATACTTTCAACCATCCTCCTTTTTTCTCAGATTTAATTTAATGAATTGGCTTGTGTTTGTTGCTCTGAAGGCTGGAACCTGCCTTTGGAAGTGGAAAAAACTACCTGAGGCTACAAAAAGAAGTCTTCTGTATCCAGCTGTGCTAAAGGAAAAGTTAGCAGCTCTTAACTTCTCACTGATGACCCACCAAAGTACCAGTCAAGTAGTATGTGTAAGTAACCTTAACTTGCTGCAGGAACAGCCTGCCAAATTAGTGGAGACCAATCATTTAGTTTAGGGTGAGACGTCTATTTCTGCCTAATACAAAGGCATTCTGGTAAATTGCTTCCTTGGTGATAACCTCTGGCAGAGGATGGGAACAGGCAGATAGGAACAGTAACCTCTCTCACAGCTGGGAGTAAAAGAGGATGCCTGTATCCGCCTATGAAAAAAAAAAAAAAAATCACTGAGAGTGCAAAACTACAGACCTGAGATATGTTTAGCATCCCTTTTATTTCCACTGGTCTCAAGTCAGGTGCCTGGAGTGAGTAACAATTTAAGTATCAACGACGTTAACCAAACATGCTGGAAAAAACAGAACTCTTCACAATTTTATGGTAATAATCCTTATATTCACACATCCCTAGGAGCTGAGACCTCCCTTTGGGTCTACAGAAAGTGTCTGAATAACTGTATTTGTCAAAGGTGTACATTTATACCAATGTAACTCCCAGCTAGAGGCAAGTCCACCAGTACAGTTTATAGGCACTCCTGTACAAAAATTGCTTTGTGGCTATCAAAGCATACCTGTATGTGCAACACTGCAGATGAATTTTATATCAACTAATTTCACCCCCCTCATTTAGAGCAGCATCCTTTTTGTGATTAGATAAGCCTGCAGGCTGACAGGTAACATGGCAGTGGGGAATACTAGACTTGGACATAGTTTATGTCCCAGCTAAAAAGGGCTTGGTTGGTAATAGAGCCCAAGGCAGAATCAAAAAACACTTCCCTCCCACAAAAAAACTGCATTACTGAACTTAAATAAGATATGTAAGTAATGTGCAATATATGTATTATATACACCCCACACACTTCATCAGTCTTTACAAGATGCCTAAGCAAACCAAACCAAACTTGAAGTAAAAGCCAGTTGAAGTGGTGCTAGTGTCTCATTTTCCATTTATATTTCTATTTGCATCCATTGTACAAGATCTTTAATGAAAGAAAAATTGACTTTTGTTTTCCAAGTCAATCCAAAATATGTCAAAGCTTTCCAATTAAAATTGCAGTATCTTCTTGAAGAAAATAAGTGAATCTATCATGTGGAAAAACATATCGCTCAAGGAAATTGGTTAGCCAGTCAGAAATCTCAACAGGAGAAATTCTGCTACAAGCACCCAATTAAATAATCATTTCACATTATATTTTAAAGATTATGTTTGTAAAGATTACTACAGGAATAACTAGAAAAAAAAGCATGATCGCATTTATCTAAAATATAAACACATACAGATGAATTAAAAATACAGCCATTGTGGTAGACACAGAGTATGTAAGTCAGTAACTGAGTAGTTACTTGGATTAGTTTCCCTGAGCAATGGGACCTGGATCAAATGGTGCAGAATCTAAAAGCAGCAGCCATCCTTTGACATCAAGCAGTGAGCACACGTGGCCCAGTACTCAGGACAAATAGTCTTCACAACGGTACCACTGACCACGTCACCTTTGGGTGCCACTTCACCCACCTGCTGAATTGTGATAATACATCTTATCAGTACCTGCAAAGGCAGCTGCTAAAGGATTAATTAAAACATTTGTAAACAAGAAGACCTGTAGAAGAAAAGTGCTGAAAACAAGATCTGTGCATGACCTTTTCAAAACCTACTCATCTCTACAAAGCTGGTTACTACTGCCCAGACTGTAAACCTGCAAATGTCACGGCAGAACATTCACAGGCTGGTTCTCCACAGCCTTCCAAGAAAGAAAATCTGAAAACTGGCTTTTGAAATCTCCAGGGGGTTATTAAACTGGCAAACAGGAGCAGAAATCTCACTTTAAAAGAGAGTTTTATATAAAAATAAGAAAAAATAATCATGCTGCAATCCAGGCTATGGGAGTCATACTCTGTCATACACTGATGGGTAACTGAGCTCAACATCTACTTCGATAATAAGGCGAGATGTGTTCCGTTCCCTCTGTGCAGGATTTTTAGTCTTTCATTAGCAGCATCTGTTAATTAGGGTAAATATTGCACCGTCTTACTGTAGCAGAGCATACTTTACACGAAAGATTGAAGTCAGCTAAACTCCTTTCAGCCAGTGTCTGAAATATAGTCCCACATAAGTATGAGAGGGAAAAAATGGTTAAGTAAACCACCACAAGCAAGAAGCCGCAAAGGCCCCATCATATTCAGTTATAAAAATTTAATGGATATTAACATTTAAAAAAAAATTAATGGCAACTCAACTTTTACTGGTTGCTTTCCAGCAATAAAGAACCATCAATCACAGGAGAATGTACTCCACTGAATTAGAAGTTGTAGTACATGACGTGAAGCAGAATCCATTAGCCAGTAAGCGGTGACTAATTTCACATTGGTCTTGACGTGAGATTCACAATTCCAAGGGTAACAGGCACGTCATGATGTTACTAACAGCCCTTGCATTTATATGTTGGGAAAGGTGGTTAACACTGACATTCGGGTTGGGTATTTTATTAGCCGTCAGTGTACACTAACAAAAAAAAATGAACACAAAAAACCCCTTTTTTTTAAATTCAACATCAAAAGCCCCCGCCCCCCCCCCCCCCCCCCCGTAAGGCAAGTAACATCAATATTTTCATTTCAACGTGTGTGTGTGTTGGGGCGAAGAAGTCTTACCATTTTTATTCATGACAAGCAACCCAACTGCAGAGAAATCGGGTGGAACGATAAGACTCACAACTGGTGCCCCAAAGTCGGCTCTTGCTAGGGCCAGACTTTTGCTGTGATCATGAAGTCGCTCTCCTGCACCAAACCCTCCAGCACCCTGCAGTTCATAACACCCCCGCCCCCCCCCCCCGACCGCTCGCCAGCCTGCGAGCGGCCCGGTACTCGCTGACGGCTCTCGGAAATCGCCTTATGCCGGCGAAGGTGGAAAGGAGCACGAAAATACCCCAAACCAGGGAAGGGGGCTGCCGAAACGGCCCGGTTTATCCAGGAGAAGCCCTCCCTCCCCGGCCCACAGCGCAGCTCCACACGCCGGCGGGGCTGGCGGCCGCCCCATCCTCCCGCTTCCGGGGACGACTCACGGCTCCAGGCCCGCAGCGGGCAGCGCCCTCCCAGCCCAGCCCGGCCCGGCCGCCCGCTCCTCACCCCACCGCGGGCCGGGCCTCAGGCACCCCCCGCTCCCGGAGCCCCGCCGCCGCCCACCCCCGCCTCACCTTCATGCGCAGCAGATTCTTGGACAGCTTCGTCTTCACCTCCCCGGCCATGGCGGCCCGCAGGCCGCGCCGGATCCCCGCGCTCGCGTAGCGCCGAGGCCCCGCACGGCGGAGGAGAAGCGGGCGGAGGCGGCAGCGCGGCTCCGCCCTCCGCGTCCGGGGCGCGGCCGCAGGGACAGGCCCCTGCCCACAGCCCGGGGCGGTGGCGTGGCGTGCGGGGAGGGAGGGGGCATGGTTGGTGGAAAAATAACGTTAATAAAGGCAAGTTTCCTGAACAGGGCTGGTCGTGTGGGGTGAGGGAGATCGGGTGTGCGGGCAGGAGATAAATCTGATTCGGTATGAAATGGTAAATTAGTAGGGGAACCTGAGATTTCTAATAAACGCTTGTGTGTTCTGTAGTGCTGCAAGCTTATGGTTTCATCCATAATTTTCTGATATTTCAGAGGAGAAAATAGTATAAAATCCATCTCATATTGGCATTTGGAGACTGCTTGACTTGTTTAGCTTTGATTTTTAAGAATCAGCATTGACTTTCACACGCAAAAAAAAAAAAAAACAAAAAATGGTCAAATGTGATTAAAACTGGAAAGCACATAAATTCAAAGATACTACAAAAAGCTTCAAAGCTTTGTTAGTCCTGAATCATGATCTTTGAATTCAATCCTGTCAGTGCTGGGCTGCCAGGCTGGGCCCTGGTAGCTGAGGAGGAAATTCTGATAGGAAATTGCCAGCTGACTCCCAGCCACAATCAGGTACCACAATTTCTGTATATGTCTTCATAAATCAGATTTCTGATGCCTGTTTTGACACTCAGCACATAAACCAGGCGATAAAGCAATAAGAGTGAGGGTTCAGTGTTGAAAACTTTAATGAACTGGTGTATTCCAAAAGACAATCTAGGGAGAAAAGTTTCTGCATATGCAAGATGTAGGTCAAAGCTTGAAGAATTCTGTAAAGATTTATAGTTTAATAGCGTTCACAAAATCGTATAACGAAGGGCAAAACCTGATTACAGTGGGAAAGGAGGAGGAAGAATTATCCACATCCAGGCATCCTTATTACACAGTTAAGCTCAGTGGGTTAAAATGGCCACAAACGTGAATGAAACATGGAGCCACAACTGCTTCAAGGCAAAGTCATAACACTGCATGGAAAGATTTAATTTTCATAGGCAAGGCACCTTCATTTCCAGGCTCCATAAATGAGTTGAAGCTGCTCTGAAATTCAAGGCCCCAGCGAGAAAGTCTCTTTGTGAGTGTGAGAGCTATCCCGCCTCATTTGGCCCCATAATGTTTAGCTTCTCTGTTCACCTTCTCATTAACAGCTATCAACCCTTCCTAACAAAAGAAGGTTGGGAAGAAATTGGCAGTTTTGTGAATACAAATGTGCATCAAAAAATGAATATGTTTGAATCTTAGTGAACAAACCAGTAGGGGAAAGCTGTTAATTAGTATAATACAGCCATAATCTCACATTTTTTGGTGTTATTTTCTGTTTGCCGTGCATTCTAATAATGTATTTGCTTTTTGTTGATCATTGCAAAACAGAACCTTGTGTTTAATTGCATGGCCTTCAATGTCACTCAGGGCTTTTTCTGAGCAGTTTAATTTAATTTACAGTCCGGGAGCATACTTCGAATGATTCCTTCTAAATATATTACTGCACACCCACAAGCACTTCTCCAGCCACTGAGCTATGGCAGTGTGTGGTTTTGCTTGGTGCCCTTTGCAAGAGCTGTTCCTGTCCCACCATCCTGCCTGCAGAGCAACCCAGCTCAACAATTTCTGCACCCCCCTTCTTCAGCACACTCTGCTTACAGCCTTGTTTGGATGCGGCCGGTGCACATATCAGCTGCCCAATACCTTTGATGTGCAGGAGCGTGTTATCACCAACTCTTTAATCTTTGGGAATCGAGTCTAATAATTTACAATACTATGTGGTGTCTAACTGGGAGGGGGGACAGCACAAAGGGTTTTCAACTCGTCTAACCACGAGGACTATTCCTAGTGTTCCCTGGTGAGCGAGAGCTCAGGCTCCGCAGCCTGAGCCCCATTGCACCCCATGTCTTGGTGCTGCACCATGGGCTTGCACAGAGATGCTGCCACTGTTTTGTGTGTCAGCACATCAGCTAACAACCTGCCTCAATACAGACAGGGAGAAGTGTTTTTCAGTAAAGGCAGTAGGGGCTGTGTGATGTTTATTTAGAAAAGTGGAGATTGTAAAAAGGCTGCCACAGAATTTGATCTATTTTGGCAGTAAAAAAGTCCAAAGGAAATTTTTGGATTACATCTCCCATCGCTTGAATTGGATGGGGAGGTTATAGATAACAATCAGCTGTCTCGTGGACCAGATTATACTGTCTGGTAAATCTGAAGACACTCCATTGATTATAGGAGAAATTTTTATGATTTACTGATGCTGGTGGAGGTAGCTCAGAGAAGAATCCAGCCCTGTAAATATGCCTGCTTGTGAGGTAGAGTGAGGGTGAGGAGACAGAGGTGGGAGAGATGCTCTATTTAGAGAAGAATCAAGGGTCATTGTAAATGACAATTAGACACCTCTCCCACAGCTCTGACAGCTCCGCTTTCAACCTGGAAATCCATTTCTTTTTCAAAACAAAAATGCTCAGGGAAATAACTCAGGGGAGAGGAGCTCCATCTCATCAAAGATTGTACATTAAACAAGCAGATAAAAGATTTTTCTTCCTAGGAAATGTGGTCCCTTCTCCCTCTAGTAATTACACAAGTCAAATCAAAGTTGTCATTAACATTATTTAAGAAATAATCTCTCTTGGAGCAACACAAGTGACAGCTGTGAACTAATTTCACACCAATGGGATCTAATTTAAGGGAATTCGTGGGTTACTTTTTTCCATAACCTTTTATTTATTAATATTCTCACAGTATTGTGATTTCAGCACAAAATGGGTATCTCAAAACTTACACCAACTTACCAGTTGACTTGATTTTCTGTCTTTGAATTCTGAAGCAGCTTTTTACAGCTCTCAAAATACTTGAAGCCTTTTTTCCCCCCTGCAAATATCAAAATTCTTACAACATGACAGGTGAGTCATTAATTTGTGTCAAACTCCTCCACTATGTTTTAAGTAAGAATATTATGTGTTTTTCTCTATGAATGAGGAAAAGAAAATGAGAAGTAGAGCTGCTGGAGGTCTGTTTGCAAACCTGAAAGGAAGGTGTGAAGCGCTGTATACGACTGGGTGGGATCAGAAAGACAGTTTTGTACCCTATGCAGAAATCCTGTGAAATTCTCCAAGTGGTAGAGAGGCAGGGTTTTGAAGTGGAGGACTCAGTTTTTATCTCTCTTGCTCCCACCAAGCTCTGAGCCGCTAATGCATGCAGCATATTGACAACTGCTAAGGTTCTGGGTGACTGGGGATTTGTTACAATATTCATTACCCTTTGATGCATGCATGTATAACCCGCTGGCCTGTGTGCGTTGCTCAGCCTGTTTTGTACCTAATCCACGGAGGATATGGGTTAGCTACAGCTCTTGGCTTCAGCGTGTGGCATGTCAGCTCAGACTGCACTGACTCATCCTCTTAGCTTTTGAAGTCCTCTTTTCTGGCGTTGGCACTGGCTTAGGTAGCAGCTGACACATGCAGAGTGTTTTAAATCCCTGCCCCCTGTTCCTTCGTTGACCCCAAGGTTTCCTGTGGATGAGGAACAATATGGAAAGAATGAAGCAGAAGCCAAACTCCTATAATTTGGGTAACAGATCCGTAAGCACAGTTCATCTTGCTGATGCTTTCCTTTTAATAGCCTTATGTGATTCACAATTTATGCAGCGTGAAAAGGTGTGCCTTAAAAATGTGCTCATAGCAAAATAGAGTTAAAACTTCTCAGAATAACAAAGATGTCTTTGCAGAAAGTGCCTGTTGTCAGTTTGGGAGAAGACAAATCATTCTCAATGCTTATGGCTGTCCCGGTGGCAGGGTGACCTTTATGTGAATAAATACAGTAATTCCTTTTTGATTACAGAAAGAAGCAGCTTCATAATGGTAGCTCCCTATCTTCTGCCATCACCTAAAGTGGCGGGGGGAACACACACCAGTCTGTCATTCTGCTGGCATGTGGATAAGCCTAAAAATCTGATCCAGTGTTGCAATGATTTGATATATCCCAGTGCTAGGAGTCAGAGCAGAGAGAATGACTGAAGAACGGTGTGGACCATCCTTCTCTTTGCTTTCCTTTAAAAATTGAAAGGCTTTCAACTTTTCGGATTTGATGGAATCACAATTAAAAGAGAAAAGGAAAATATCACCTTCCGTTTGTTAACTATAAAAATGCAATCCAGCAGTGCTGCTGGTGCTTTGCTATTTCCCAGGTCAATAAATGGCTCCCCTGACTTTAATAAACATTGATGCTGCAGGCTTGTTCTACAGTGATTGAACCTTTTTATAGTTTCAACCACGCACATTGCATGAAAGCTTGAAGATTTTTTTTTTTTCTTTTTCAGAAGGGCTGGTTCTGATTGATTAAATTGTCATTTTCTGAGTTAGTTGCTGAATTATAACTTGGCATTTTTAACCGTGTGATTTGTTTAAAGAGACAGCTTTTTGATATTGCAAACCAGCTGAGAATTTTTAAGCAGTAAAAGGAAATTTTACTCACTTTGTTCTCAGCCTTTCATCACTGCCTGACAAAAATGCTCCTGAAAACAATGTAGAGGCTATGATATCAGGAGAAGCTACTTAGATTCACACTCACTTCTTCTTTTTTCCATCATGGAGCTGATCTGTGCAGTATTACATT